TATGACTTTCAACAGTGACGTGAGTGCCAAGTCGCGAGTGCGACGACTGTTTGTTTGATGACAGGAGATATTTCGTCTTGCCCTCGTTCACTGCCAGACCCATTTTATATGTCTGACAACAAATGTACGAAACACTATCCAGGTGGATACAGGATACAGGACAACCAACGGAAACACCGCCAAGAACAAAATCGACATTGAAAAGTTTTTTTTCAACTTGCGTCAATGATCCGTTTGGGAGAACGTTACTCTATTCGGAAATGCCTTGCTATTTTACATGGAATAAATGGTTACGCAGAAGCAAGACCAATCATTTCAACTAATTTATACAATCCGAAAAACTGCTATTGCTTCTACCTTCAGTTGCTATTGATTAATGATTGCGTATTGTGAATGGTACGGTGTGTACAACTTTTTGAGCAGCATGTCAGCAACTGCTGGAACAGGATAATCACTGGAATCAAACGATGGACGATGCGATAGCTACTTCGTATGCCACTAAAGTTCGTATAATATGCGCGATGGTAATTTCAACATATAAGCCTTCAAATCCGCGTCAATTTTGGGATACGAACAAAACTTCGCTAAGAATTTCAAATGGGTAATTAAATTCACTTCAACGAAGATGAACTAATTCACGAATCCGATTGACCAAATTATCGTAACTACGATTGCTTGAGTGCACGCGCAATTTCAGTTTCCAAAAATACTGATTTTCATGACTTAAACTAGGAGATTCAAAGTCAAATTCAGGGATGTTTACGTTCATACAAATAGATCGATCGCCTTGAAAATGAATACGAAGCCGTGAATCATACAGTGGAATTTCTAAATTTTTTGGAGAGGTTTGGTATGCTGTATGCTTGTCGAAAAAATATCGATATATCGGTATAATGTTTTCAATGCATCGATATTTTTTAACGTTTTTTATTGTTTCGATATATCGAAGTATCGATATAATATTACAAGTATTGAAAAGTTATGAAAATCGATGTTTTTATGATTAAAAATTTCTATATCTATATAAAGTTAGTATAAATAACTGTACTAAAATAATTTCCTGCTTTTTAATTTAGTACTAAAGTTGGGTTTTAAGTTGGCAACATTGTCTGTCAATTGTAAATGTCATTTCAGTGTCAGTGTCTGTAATTCAATTCAACTGTCGTCTGTCAGTGTCAGTGTGTTAACCGCCCCGCGTATTATAACCTCAACGCGAGCGCGACCGTATTTTATGTTTTTTCTGATTGTACTTCTCAAACAATATAACTAAGTAATTCAATCAATAATCAATTCACGTATGTAAACAAAATAATTCGAGCATTCCAATCATGTCTAGCTATATATAGCCAGCACGTAAATCAAAGAATTTTTTTATGCCTGTATCAGATAAATATTGGTTTGATTAATAAATAATTACTATTTTAATTGTTGTTCTTGATTTATTAAAAATTATGTCTATTGATTAGTATTTATCTAGTAATGTAAGGTGATTAAAGTAGATTAGGCCAAATATTTTTTTTCGTATCATACCGATAAATCGATATTTTTAAATAAAAATGTCAATATCGATATAATCAAAAATTACCGATACAATATATATCGATACTTTATTCCATTTCCGACATCAGTAGTATGCTGCCGTATCATTGCGTCTCAAAATTGAGCCAAAACTGTGTAATGGAACACGACTGATTGTGACGCAGCTATCGAATTTAAGGGGGTAGAATGATTGATTTTATGAATTCCTTTGAGTTCCAACGATTTACCATTTCAGTTCAAACGTATTCAGTTTTCAGGGAAATTGCAGTTGCGATGACAATCTACCGAACACAAGGACAGTTGATAGAAGTGTGTGGTATAAATCTGGAAATGCTATGTTTTTCACAATGCCAGTTATACAGGTACGTATCGTGTTCACAAGTTGGAAAACTATCTTCTCTGTACATTTGCGCACCGGAACCGAAACCAAAATTTATTGTTTGTCAACAATGAAAAAAATGTAGGAAAATCGCATATAATGATTTTAAACACAATATAAATGCAACTTTCTTTGCATTTCAAAGCACATAATTTCAAGCAGAACAACACCTGCGGGATCAGACCATATGTATATATGTATATTAATAATCAGAATGATGAGACTTTTTGCAATCATGACATTGGTTTATCCGTCCGCCTGTCTGTCTGTGCAGGCTTCAACTTGAGTAGTTAGATATACATTTTGTGTATAAAGGCAAAACGAATTCGTAGATGGCAGTAATTGCATCACGACCAAAAAAGCCATTAATGGAAAATTCATAAATTTCCACAACTAATCCGAAAATTGAAATATTATATGATACAACGAAGGGCACCTGTGGTTTTTAAGAATACCCGTCTCTTAATCGGCTAATATATTATTTCGTATTAAAACTAAATGCATAAGAGACAATTACTTTTACATCCATAATGGCACAATATGGCTGCCGGACATGTTCGATCAATTTGAACGATATTTGGTAGGTATGTACTGAAATTACAGAATTACAGTCCGAAAATGTGTAAAATGGAACCACAGCCACGCCTACTTCCCATGTAAGACAATTTTAAATTCCATTTGTTCCATCTTTCACCTTCCAGTATACAAATCAAGCAGCACTTAATACAACGTAACGATTAGTGTCTTTATGGGATGCCATCTTACAACCAAAAATTGTACAAATCCGACAAAAACTATTCAAGCCAGCAGATACCGAATATGTGGACCCCAGTTCCCATTGCGAACTTTTTATCGAAAATTTCTGTCAAACCGTGAGATATAGTATTAAAATTGAGAGAGAATCCTCTCCAGATAATAGTGTGTCTGAAGTCCGATATATATAATACAAAGATTTTCGTACTTCCGGCTAACTGCATATCTTATATATCAGCTAATATGTGAATAATACTGTGATTAAATTGAAAAGTGAATTTTTAATTTATACTTCGCGTGTTTTTCGAATCGGTAAACTTTTTTTTGGAAGTTGGTAGTACTGTTTGTGACATCTATGCTAAATTTCACGTAAACATGTTCATTAGTATTTGAGATATACGCCGCGTTTGTGAGGCTCTAAAAGTGAATTCTTCGATTTTAACTATGTCTGAATTTATTGAGCAAAGAAGTGCGATAATGCACCATCTCTTATTGCATTCATTATTCGTAATCGTTTCGCCACATTTTTAAATAATATTAGGTTGGCACATATCTCCCTTCCGCTTTTTTTCTATTTATTCAATGCTTTATAAAAAGTGTTACTGTGATCGGATTTAGTTCAAATATGCGCCGTTTCGTGCGATAATCTGTTTTCATCTTGACGGCAACTTCATTATACCTCCTCGCAGAAACCCCCCTCCTTATTTGCGAAGAACTCGAACAAGCCTTTTGAGGCTTTACACCAACTTTACACCAACAAGGGAGTTCGCTATGGACAGGAACAGGTGGTAATCACTTGGCGCTATGTCCGGGCTATATGGTGGCTACGATAAAACCTCCCATCCGAGTTCTCGCACATTCTAACGAGTCGTCAACGAAGTGTGTGTTCTGGCGTTGTCTTGGTGGAACACTACACCCTTTCTGTTCGCCAATTCTCGTCTATCGTCAGCTTCAAGCCGTCCAGTTGTTCGCAGTAGATGGTAGAATTAAGCGTCCGGCCATATGAGAGCAGTTCATAGTGAATGATTCGCTTAAAATCCCACAAAACACACAGCAAAACCTTAATGGCCGTCAAGGCTTGGTCACTGCTTGGGACGATTCACCGGCCTTCGAATACGACCGTTTTCGCTTAATATTGTCGTATGTGACCCATTTTTCGTCGCCAGTCACCATTCGCCTCAAAAATGGGTTGAGTTCGTTACGTTTCAGCAAATTATCGCAGGCGTTGATTCGGTCCAGAAGGTTTTTTTGCGTCAAATCATGCAGCACCCAAACATCAATTTTATTTGTGTATCCAGTCTTCTGCAGATGGTTTAAAATGTTTTGGTGACTAACTCCCACTCTGGGCGATGTCACGAGATGCCACATGCCGGTCTAACACGACGATTTCCATGAATTGATCGGTATTCGTCGTCACATGTCGTCACAGGTCGTCCGCCGGATGGCTTATCCATGGTATCGTTTTCACCCACTCTGAATCGTTGAAACCATTCGTCCGAGTTCGAAGTGATAGGGTACCATCCCCCAAAACAACATTAATCTCACGGAATGTTTATCTAGCGGATTTGCCTTTAACGAAGGAAAACTTAAAAATAGCGCGAATTTCGGCGTTAATGAAGTCCATGCTTACACGTCTATAACTGTTAAACACAATATCCCAACTAATTATGTATAGCGTCGTTTTGTAGGTTATGTCAAGATCTTTAACAGATGTATGGTATTGCCAGATATGACCTCTGTAGCGCTTTATACGTAGCCGCGAAATTCAAAAGACAAAAGGCGTAAGGGAGATATTTAACAACGTAATATCGTGCCACAACCACCGCATTTCCTCTGATGTATCTTCGTGTAACTTCTGGCTATTCACCAAATTCTCATAACCACTCCGAGGACACCGTTTTGACTCAATTAAGGATATAAAAACTGAATCGTAGAAGGCGTGATGGCCATCACGGTCGACTATTTTCCAAGTGCTATGATGACTGGAAAATTCGTTGGCATAACTGTATTGCAGCGGAAGGAAATGAAATGGACAAAATTCACCTTTCAACTTGATCACAGTAGTATTTAACTAAATTTGGTGAGCGTATTTTTTGCTTAACTTAGCATCTATGTAACTAAAATGGATAAAAAACCCATATCTCTAATATCCAAATTTTCAAACATCCGGTTAGCTTTGCTCTTTATATAATATTAGTTTGTCAAAAAAGTCTTGCGGTATTTTTATTGATTTTTCAATTGTTCATAAAAATTTGTTTGATAACTCATGCCCAGCTCTTGACCGCTGCTACGGCTGCTACTATGTCGGTCTCTTTCGACCAATTCAGCGATTTTATCGCAATTTTCGACGACAGGCCTTTCGGAGCGTGGCGCATCGTCGACCACCTCTACACCAGAAAGAAAACGTTGAAACCATCGTTGTGCGGTGGAAATAGAAACTATATCGGGTCCATAAACTGCACAAATTTTATTGGCGACTTGAGATGCATTTTTGCCTTTATCGTAGTAGTACTGTGAATGGCAGTGAAAGTATAACGCCAGGAGAAGGCAAACCCCATTCCCCAATCGGTGAAGAGGGAGCAGACGTTCGACTGTGCGACCATGAAGAAATTTTAATAGCAGTTACCCGTCTGAAGAACAACAAAGCGGTGGGGGAGGATGGATTGCTGGCCGAGATAATAAAAAACTTCGGCGAAGAACTGTTAAGGAGTATGCTTTAGCTTCTTAAAATAATGTCGGACAAAAGCATGCCCAACGATTGGAATTTAAGTTTGCTATGCCCGATCCATATAAAATGAGACCCCACAATCTGCGCCAACTACTGTAGGATAAGCCTCCTCAACATCGCAAATAATTATTCTATCGAGCGCATTGTGTGAAAGGTTAAAGCCCATCGTCAACAAACTGATTGGATCTTATCAGTCTGGCTTTAGACCTGGAAATTCAACAACCGATCAGATATTCACCATTGGAGAAGTAAACGGAGAATCTACACACACCACTTCTACAACGATATCAATGCTGCTTTTGACAGCACGAAAAGGAGCTGGCCTAAAGCCGCTATGTCAGAATTTGGTATCTCCACGAAACTAATGCGGCTGTGTAAACTGACGTTGAACAACACCGAGAGCTCCGTCAGCTTCGGGAAGGGTCTTGATACCAAACGAGGTCTCAGACAAGGCGACTCTGTGTCTAGGAAGCCTCTCCAAGAATGAGTTCTTAATTGTTACGGGAAGGTCCTTCTACGTACAATTTTCTATTTTTTCTTATTATCATATAGAAAACTCTACATCTCGCTTCCAACTACTTGAAACAATATCCTGTTCCTTAGATTTTGTAGGAAATTGAATGCTCTACAAAACAGATCTATACGATTCTTTCGTAAACCCAACTGTTTAAAAGATATTAACAGTTAAATTTCATTATTTTTGGTAAAATTTTTTATTTCTTATGAATTTTATAACTCAGTGAACTAAATTATTATGAATGATGAAACTCCTAAGTTTTTGGAGAGGCTTTCTGAGAGGTTCCTAGGAACCTATTTTTCAGAGTACCAAACGAAAAAAAAATATGCATTGATGTTTGACGATGATTATCTCGCTAACACTTAACTTAATCGAAAAATTATAACAGACCATTTTTATAGAGCAGTAACTTTCCTACAAAACTGTGAGTTTTATCATTCATAATGATTTTATGTACCTATGATGGCGATATTAATATTAAAAATGATGGATTTGGGTTCAGACATTATTCGTGCAAGCTTTATCTCTTTATGTGAAGTACGTGTGGTTGTAATGTGCGAAGAATGCCACAGTGTACATTTAGTAGAACTCGGTCAGGCGGGTCTCACGCCGATCCTCCAATTTTTACACGGCCCCCATAAAGCCCGCTTAAACCATCAAGGACATAAAGGTTATGTCTCTAGAATATTTAGCAATTGATTTATCGCTTTTTTCATCTAAAGCCTGTACGTATCACATAAAACTAATCGAGATAGATATAGGATAATGTATATATAAATGAAATTATCAGGGTGACGAGAAAAGTCGAAATAAGGTTGACTGTCTGTCTGTCGTCCATTCGTACGCCAGCCGTGCAATCTGTAACTCGAGTAAAAATTGAGATGTCTCGATGAAACTTGGTACATAGGTTCCTTAGTACAATAAGAAAATCGGGCCCATAGATGGGCGTAATGGGACCACTGTTACGCCCACAAAACGCCATTAA